GGTATCCCGAACAATATTCCTTAAACGGTCATGCATCGGTGCAACGGCTCCGCCGAGAGCGCGTTTATCTTCGATGCACCGGTGCACCGCCGGCGGACCATGAAGCGGAGCTCCAAGCCCCGTGGAGAACAAAAGCCCGAACGAGAGTGAGAGTGCGCATACCGACGTCGCCGTCATCGTCGCCGTCTCGTAACGAACGTGTAACAGCCCCCGTAATAGCGTGTGTCCAGCTGTAAATTCATTCACGAACGGGGCCCCTGCAGGCGAGAACGCGCGCGATTCCTCCTCGCCGAGAGGCGCGCGTCCTCGCACGTGCTTTCTATCGAGGCAGCGACAGCGCGCCTCTCGGCGAGCGAAACGCACGCGCCCGCTTGTATGCGTGCGCGGGCGCGCGCGTGTGTACGCGGTGAAACTTTTTTTTTTACACCGCGTGTTTCCTCTTCCGACATTTCTCACAGTCGGATACATAATCGCGCGAGGCGTAACGCGCCGAATGTCTACCGCGAGCCCGCGAGTGAAGCGTAACGATTGCACGCGCTGTAGGCGTGCGTTCGCGCGACGCTCCGGTTTTCGGCGTGAAGGGACGAGAGATGCGGAAAAACCGGAGGGCGAGAGTAGCACGCGGCGCACGTCGCCTTTTCATTGAAAAAGGAAAGGTCTCGACACCAAGGTCGGGACTGTAAATGGCTGAGTTTATTATATTTCAAAGATACGCGGATTATATCTCTTTGATCTCTGGACAGATGGGATTTCTCGAAAATTTTCAAATCTATTCACCACGGGGGGGGGGGAGAGGAGATAAAACTTTTTCGCGTTGCCAGAATCAGTGGAGAAATTGCCTGCTCGTAATTCCAGCAATCCCGAAGAACGCGCCTGGCTTCCCATTTCACGCAAATTATCGCAATAATCGAATGTGTAAAGCAACGAGACAAGTTCTTTCTCTCCTCGGAGATTTCCCATCGTTCATTACAGATTACATCCGGGTGTAATTGACCTTTGAATAGTTTTTCGGACCTTGGAGGCTGCTAAAAATGTTCACCTTCGAAATGGAGGTGAGAGAAAACCATCTTGTATGAACATGTGTTATCAATCAGCCGAAAGTCCGTTATCCGTTCAACGGACGAGCGGTGTATCGTTGATGAGACACGGTCTTTATCAACGAAACTGGGTCCGACAGGTTGTGTCGCGCGGATGTACGTGACACAACACGGTGAGGTGGTAAGGAAACAGAAGGAGAAGCTGTAAAATAGCATGACTTTCGTAATCGACGGCGAGACAGTGCGCGGTTCTCGGTCAGTGAACGTAACGGTGTTGAGGCTTTGCGAAGGAACGTACACGCTCGAGGGACGCGTAGCTGCGGGCGAATTCGGACTCCTGCGATTACGTGCTAAAGTACCATAATGTACCTGCCGCACTAACATAATTTTATAACGTCAGCGTTTTCTTGACCACACCATACCACTACACTCTAGACGGTCGTCTCACCAATTCGACCACCGAGGTCCTGGAGTGGTCCAGGTTCAAACCCTGACCGAGGTAATGCTTTTCGCAATAAATTTTCTGTATTATTAAAAGTGCCAGGTGTGGCCAAGAAAACACTGACGTTGTTAATTATCGCTGGCGACATTGAAGAATTCTTATTAGTTGATAACTTTATAAACGAAATAAGAACCGAGAACGCCAATTTTTAGGCCCTGCCCGAGCAGATGTGGGTAGACCAACGATTTCCAATTATTTTTGAAGATGCTATACTTAGCATTCGATACAATGCCCAATTCGATTCAATTATACAATAAATTTATAATGTTTTAAACGGAACGTTAATGCAAATGTGGTGAGATAAAGTGTCGATAGATTTAATCTTAATACACTTTTTCTATTTACGCCGCTTTCGAAACAGGACGGTTGACATACCTGTTTAATTATAATTAGACTCTAGTTATTCGTTTTACGCACTCACGACGTTAATGCGTTTCCTGATTCGCGCGCCGTCCAAGTCCGCTGGATACCTTTTGCTCGAAATGGAAAATCCCGATGAAGAAGGTAATTTTCGATCGTTTAAAGTAATGGAAGTATGAGTAATGGAGATATTTTACGCAACTCTTCTCCGTGCGTGCGTACGCGCGTGCTTGCGTACGAGCATCAGCGGACCATTGAGAAATTGCCTGCTCGTAATCCCAGCAATCCCGAAGAACGCGTCTAGCTTCCCATTTTACGCAAATTATCGCAATAGTCGAATGTGTACAACAACGAGACAAGTTCTTTCTCTCCTCAGAGATTTTCCCCATCGTTCATTGCAGATGACATCCGGGTGTAATTGGCCTTTGAATATTTTTTCGGACCTTCGAGGCATCTAAAAATGTTCACCTTTGAAATGGAGCTGAGAGAAAACCCGTCGTGAATTCACAATACGATTTGTAGATGGTTCGATCCTTCGTAACCACGTGAGATTGTCTCGCGTGAACGTTAACTGGCGTTTTGCATTTTCCTAATTGTTACTCGTGCATTGTTATCCGATACGCGCAGCATACGATCAATCACGTAACAGTTTGACTGCCGATAATGATTGTTCGCACGGGAGTACCGTAGCGCCTGAGAGGGTGTTAATTGGAATTTATGTAACTTAAAAAATGCTTAACGTCGGCGTTAACAACGCAATCGCTGCGAAGTATCGTTTCCCGCAAATTACTACACGCTTCTCGATTCCCGAGCGCGAAAATGTAGATATTACACGCCGCGCTGCACACTTCCTCACGTTACTTTTTTCCATGTCAATTTCCAGCCACTTCGCTATGCTCACCATACTATACGTGCATCTAGTTCCGACGGGTATCTCCGATATGGTAGCGATTTGATTGCGCAGTGCGCGTTACGCGTGAGATAATCTCGACGTCCGACTCCTTTGGATAATCCAAATTTTTCTACACGGGGAGCATTTTCTCTGAAAATTTATCCTGAAAATATTGCGATTGTGAGAATTTTATGACGGCCTTTTGAAATTTCATCATACATTCTACTAGTAATTATACTTAGTGTACATTTTATTAGTGGAATGTATGGTGAGATTTCAAAAGGCTCTCATAAAATTCTGCGAAATGCCGCGTTGTCCCACGATCACGTGATTTTCAGGATAAATTTGAAGTGAAAATTCTCTCCCCGTATAATTACAGGATATTCGATAACAACGAATTTCACCGCGAATCGATACAATTAAGAATTAATCTCCTCTACATACGGCCGGATGTCAGCCTAATTGCTTTTTAATGAACGTAGTCGTGCAAGGCTGCCAGGTATTGAACAATTATGTCTTGCGTCCTTTATAATTTTCGTCAACTCCAAGCCTCTTACGATTACATTAGATAAATTACAGCTTTCTTGAGAGATCATTATCAACTGTCTTTTTCGTAATCGTACACAATCACGCGTTGGGGAAACAAGGCGCGATTATGATAATCTCAAAACGAAGAATTATCGCGTCGTGTTTCGAGCATCTCTCGCAAGTAATTTCATCGATGTGATCTTTAAGCGCGCTGATATGCCTCCCAAGGACTCGCGAGTGAATATCGTGTCCTGCCGATAGGCTCGAGGGACGAATTATGCATACTCGACGAGAAGAAGACACCGTGCATGTCGATACGGTGACGATTGTGGCGTTTCAAGGGAAAGGTAGGTCGGCCTGACAGCGCTTAATGCCAAGGTACACGATTATAGATAACGAATTAATCTATCCCCGCGTTTATTGGATAAGTAATTAACTATATTACACAGAGACACAATTTCTAGTGGCAGAAACACGTCAACCGTGTAATACACGTCAGAGACAAGAAGAGACGCGGGCTCAGATATGCCTTTCACTCATTTTCCCGTCAATAGATGTAAATATACAGGCGCTTATATGTTTATGGACGCGGATATTTTTACGAGATTACGATCTTTTCTTCTTCGGTTGATAGATGTTTATCAATTAATCCACTAACAGAGATTTTCATATTTCTCACACGTGTATCGCGCGGAAATAATTACATAGACGTCGGGATTCTTAATGAGCGTTACGTGAAAGAATTTATCTTAACTTGCACAATATATTCCATTTTATACACCTGCATCCGTATTGATTAAAATTAATAAGAAGTTGGCGAGCTGTGAAATTGACTGATCAAAGTGAAAAAGAAGCTAAATAATTTAAAATAACTAATCCTCCCGTTGTCCCTTCTTCTCTGGGAAAAAAAAGGACAGTTAGCAAACCATTTTGGGGCCCACAACTAGCAAAAGAATTATTTGGATTGTTCGTAACTCAAATCTTTCCCTTTATACAAAAGAAACGGTCCAAATTTTTCCCAGAGTAGAGAACAAATCAAATAATTCGATTACCAATTGTGGGCCCCAAAATGGGTCGCTGTCTTTTTCCCCCCAGAGTTTCTCTTAACAACGACGATATTTAAAGGTAAATAAAGAAATAGATTATACGAATTCGCCAATAATATAAAATAGCACTTGTGTTAAAATTATGCTCGTGTTTTATGAATATGGTACCGCAGGTCGCATTAACCGTCTCGGTTTTCACTGTCACGAGTGAAGATCTCCACTCGCGACGGTGCACCTCGAGGTGCGGAGATCATCTCCCGTTCAGCGAATCTCGGCTCGCCAAAATTACACCGGTTTCAAGGCCTGACACTTCTTACCGAGTACCAGAGCGAGGCAGAAGAGGCAAAGAACTTACCTTTCAAGGATGGTCACCCCGTATCCTTCGAAAGATAATCGCTCGACTGGGGCAGCCCGTAGCGCAGCGCGGGAAAGACACACGAGAGAGTAGCGTAGCTCGCGGTACCGCGATCAACGGCCGACTAGACCGGTACCATTCCCCATCGCCGTGGTAATATTCGACAACTTCCACCACTTTCCCACCTTCTCTCTTCTGCCTTCGCACTCGTAGGCGTAGTTTCGGGAATTTACGTGGTGCGACTAGGTCGCGTACGCCGTGAAGAAATTTCGCGGAGACGCGCCGGTGGAGGAACGCATAGGCACCAATTAAATTGTCACGGCCGCTTCTGAAGATCTCTCAATGACAAAGAAATTCTATGGTGCGTGATACACTGTCGCTATAACTATCGGCTGTCGCAATTAAATCGTCACGTCCTCAGAATGTCTGCTTATGACATGGTACACTATCTCAAATTGAGTAATTATTAAGAAATGGTAAACCGAATTGAAAGATAATTCATTGTTGTCAATACGGTGCACATTGCTCCAAGAAATTCTTAATTGAAGCTGCAGAAAAATCTGAAAAAGGTATAAAGTTAAAAATAATATATTTGGTTAACTCGTCTATAAATATGATCAAAGAGAGAGAGAGAGACGACATTCGTGCCATGAGATAAATTCAATTCCCGCGGACGCATAGGCTGACACCGTTCTCCAAAGTGCGCGAAATGCTGCAATTTCTCACTGCCATTGTATATTTGCTTACTCTACCCCCGGGCTAACAATCGCGGAAGCATTTACAAACGAGCAATTTCGTGTCTCAAATCACGCCGTGGAAAGGAAAAGGAAAGGCGATGACAAGGAGGTAATAAAAAGGCACTCATAAATTTTGCACTCGATTAGAAACGGTACCGTTTCCCATCACGATCCCGTCATTTCGGTGCCGCCGATGTTGTCATAGCTCTCGTGACTGGAATATTCGTCGTACACCACTCGGTCGTTGCTTCTCATATTATTGTTACGGGTGTAATGAGGCGATGCCTCGTAGGAGAACATTACTGGACGTTCGCCCGGCTCCGGCCAAGTAATTGGCCGAAAGGAAACGTGATCGGAATATCGTGCTGAAACCGAAATTCGGAACCGGTTTCGCAGGCCGTCCAAAACGAGATAAAAGACGTCGAGACGTCGTTTGCGCGGTACCTGATTTCCTTCCCCGTCCGACGACACGTCAAAGATTTGCTTCGCAGAAGATCCTCCGTGTTCGCGGCTCGATTTGCCAACGTGGTGAACGGATATCGTGTCATAAAGGTAATTTGCAAGACCATGGAGTTTCTCGTTTCGAGCGCTGTAATCACTTTGCCCCGTTGAAACAGGTGGGCTGAGTGTCGCAAGATTTTTATTGCGCCCGTCTACATATCGCGTTTCAGAAACTCGGCTCCTCTTCTCGTCCGTAGTTCGCGTGGATGACTCTACGTCGGCCAACGTATCATTTCTATCTGCAAATATCAATTGCCAGACATTACGATCAACGCATGCGGTTTATTTTACTTCATTTTGGATAAATTGAAGCTGTGTCGCTTTTTGTTACGAAACACTTTTTCATTTCCATTCTCTTGCGTCCGGCATTACTGTGTTTTAATAATGCGAGCTACCGTGACGCTATCAGAATTATTCTTACAGAAATCATCCGTTGCGAGATCAACGATGCTCGATTCGGATCCTTGCCCGCGGCTTGGTTGCGGCTGATCGTTTCGTTCCAGATAGTCGTGAATCACATACCAGGGTCGCCACTCGTGGTTCTACATGGTTCGAATATAATGGAATAAACGATTGCCATACCATAGTTCTGTCCATTGGAAGTACGCTGGGAATCACCGATGCCTCCTCGCACGAATTTGTGCACACATCGACACATTTACACACTGAGAAAAATATCCGATTAAATATAATCGGATAATCGAATTGCATAATAACAAACGGATATAATTCGATTGAATTGTGCCGATGAAAATTTTTCGATCAAATTTCATCGGTGACTGCATTTCATCGGATATAATTTAATCGGAAAAGTTAATGGGAAAAATTAACCGTCGGAAACACTATTTAATTGGTTTGTCCGATGGAAATTTTTCCCAGTGCACATTTTGCATATACATACGTGGCAAATGTATACATGTTCCACCTGTGCTTAAATTCATATGGGAAAGGCATCGGTGATTTCCAGTGTACAATTAACAATAAAATCCTTCGAAGCGTACTCACGTCATAGTAATTGCCCAGTTCTTTGTCGCTCGGCGGAGCAGCGTTGGTTTTTTCTGTCGCCGGGAAATTCGCATGATCGCCGGACGAGTCATTGGAGTGATTCGTCTTGACGTTTTCTATCTCGACACCCGTCGAACCATTTGTATAATTAACAGTCTTCTCGTCTGCAATTGTCGAGGTGCTATCTGTCTTCGAGCCTCCGATATCTAAGACATTTAAATATAACAGGATAAGAGAAAAAATATAAGGATAGCCGCGCTATTTAAATAATTCAAACAAATCCGGTTTGAAGAAAACTGAACGCCACGATTACACCGGCTATGAGATATTTAAGCCGGTCCTCAGATAACTAGCGGTTGTTGTTAAAAAATCTTCTCGTAGAGAAATGCAAATAGATAACGGAGAAATCATATTCTTCAAGCAATTTTAAGTAGATTCTACCGATACGCATAATTTGAATTTATGATTCGGTTACGTAATGTCAAGAGTGGTCAATCTTAAATCGCAAACAGTAACCAATCTATTTCTGAACGATTTTGGTCGAATAAACTTCGTACGTCACCAATTTTGTCCTTAAGGGCTTTTATGGCGATACACCTAGCACATCAATTCAAGGATTAAGTTTTTTCCTGGCGCACTTCGTCGATCAGAATATAATTCCACCTAACGCAAGTACCTGCAGGTGTTACGTCTGGCGAAGATATTAAAGCCGCCTCGTTGAAAAGGTGATCGAACGCATCAGTGAAGAATGGTAGAAATTGTCCTCGTCTCCCTACACCTTCGACGAGGATCGCCGGCTCGTACGGCGGCAATAAAATCTTGTGTGGTTCTTGTGGCGCGTGGTACCGCCAACCGTTTCCGTCCTTCGCTTCCAACGAACGATACGGATCGTTCTTTATCCAGATTGGATAACCTTGCCCAAGAAAGTTAATGTCCTCCAACATCGTGGGAAGGGACAGCGTGTCGTCGGCCGCTATGTAAATCTTCCTCGACTCTTCTAATCTCTCCGTGTCACGCGACATAGTCGGCTCGGTTTTCCCATCAGCGGGCGAAGTTGCCAGAGAAGTTGAGCTCTTAGAATCAGAAAACACAGGAGCGTTGTAGGAAATGTTCAAGTAGCCGATTCCGAAAAAAATATCTATCAATACCTGAACAATTTTGCTTTCATCGAGCACCGTGGGTTTATTGTAATTCAATCGAGGTGTAGGATAAGGCAGCGTTACATACGGCTCGTTTGGTGACGACTCCAAAGACTCTGCGATTAAATTTGATTTCGTTGTTGCGATCTGCTGGCGAGTCAGCGAGACTTCTATCCCGTGCTCTCTGTTAAAGAAATGCGCACAACAGACGCAAAATAATTTGTGGAATAATCGTATCTTTCAAACATATCGATTTATTATCTCGTATCCATAAAACAGACTTATTAGTAGCTCGGGGAAAAAGCCGTATATCCAATTTTATCTAATTGTATCAAATAATGTCAGATGTGATAAAATTTGATATACGTCTTTTTTCCCCGGAAGAGGAAAGTCCCCTATATTTTTTCGCAACGATTACACGATCTAACAATCAATTTTCCACTAAACAGATTTCACTCCAAGAGTAATAAATTCACGACGGAGCCAACAGACGGTGCCTATTAATTTAGCAGAAACTCCGCTATCTTACATCAGGAGCCTATCTTATAATAAGGGACTTTCCTCTATTAATGGAAAATTCTCACTTACGTAGGAGTTGTGTGACGTATATTTTCCTTTTGTGTCACTGGCAAAATCAGCTGAAATCATAAACGAGTCTTTCAATTTCGGAACTTGAATTTCACGGTAATTTTCAACTCGTTCACATAAGAAAGTCCTCCACCTTTTCCCCCGTGATTGGATAACTCGTCTCCGCGGTCGTTTTTCTCTCCAGTTCCTGGCGAATCAGCTCCCTCTCGGTTTGCACCAAGGTTCTTCTGGCCGAGGGTTGCTCGGCGATCTACATTTGTTTCCGTCAGAGTCTCCTTAGACTACATTTTTAGTAAACTTGCGAGTTCGGGACACGCGGGAGATATAAGTTGAGATACGTTCACCGCCACGTAACCGACATTGAACTTTCCGTTTACGTTGCCGGTCAGTCACCGGTGACTGTCAGGAAGCGGCAGTCAAATGAATATCACATATCATATTTTCAACTCGACGCCATAAATTAAGTTTTTCATCGTTCTTTTTATTATAAAATTATTTAATCGGCGTGGACGAAAAGTCAATTAATTACACTTAGCAGTAAATGTGTTAATTTAATCAGATGATTATTAATTTGGCCCTTACCCCTGGTCCACAATCTTGCTTTAAGTAAGCTGTAAGCCTCTCACAGGTGAGAGTGAGGGAAATAAATTGTGATTGGTTAATTTCTTACGGCTTAAGGCTTACAACTTACTTAAAGCAAGATTGTGGACCAGGGATTAGAATTAGCAGCGACTCTCGCGCGCTTTACAATAATGCCGTAAATTAATAAATTAATAAATGAGAAACAAAATACCTTATTGTTGCGTGTGGCAGACGAGACTAAAGATGCGCGGCACGATCGCTCGATGGTGCAGTTGAAACCCTTGCACGAATCTACAATTCGCACTGCGCATTTTTGCCCTCGTGGGCAGACCCAGCCGTAGCAATACTTGCTCACCAGCTCGTCTTCTACGGAGTAGAGGAATTATATCGAATTATATCACCATCCTCGGGAATGCGCGAACGTAGTTTTCATTTTATCACGAACGGACCGACGGTGAGCGTGCAATCAGGCGTGTGCGTACACAACCACCACGGATCGTGACAATTGTTTTCTGGCCTTCGCAAGAAACACTCGTGTTCCGAGGGGCAGCTCAAACTTTGGCACACGTCGAACCAAAGTTGGACGTCTGCAAATAATTTGTTTTCGTTACGTGTACATTTAATAATTTTAATAACATGTAAACCTAGGTCGGATATTTCCAAAGCTACATTTATTAATTTAAAATTATTGCCAATAATTAATATTATTATTTAATTAATATTACCAATAATTAATATTAATGTAAGTAAATAGAGGCAATAAGAGCCAAAGATTGTTAATGCTGCGTTTACATATTAAAAAATTCATGACATGTATACGCTTCGACCTGACATCATTAATGTTTGATAATAAATAATCAATGAATGATGATTAATATCCTATGCATTTCGTAATGTATATTTAAATAGTTTCAAATGCGCGAGAAACCGCGTGAGAAAGTATATAAAAGTATTGAACGAGAATCAATTAAATTATTTATCTTTCTTGCTTGATGTGACCTTCCGCGCTTTCGCAACTCCTGATAAGTTTGCAGGGTGGATTGTCGCAAAGCGTTTCTCGCAAGATGCAACGCTCTCCCGATGGACACTCGAAGCCGGCGCAGGAAGCTGCGCCCTCGTGATACTCTTTCTCCGTTACGCAGCGCGCTAATTGTTGCTTACACTCTGAAAGAGTTTGAAAAATCAGTACGTTATCTGCACTTTCCAAAAGTATAGATACTCTCTAAAGATCAATAAGTGAATTATCACTGATTAACTTTTAGAGAGTATAGTTAATCTCTTAACAGATGCTAATTACTCTCATCCCAATGGCATCCTCGCACTTTAACGACACATACGTGTCCTTTGCTGCAACGAACGGTGTTGCATGTTAGTGGTCCCTTCAACGATTCTAGAAATAAGTAAGCCTTCGTCAAGCATTTATGCTTGTACAAATATATTACTGCTCATAAATATAATTAATATGAAATATTTTAAATTAATTAACGAAAATACAGAAAACTACAAAAGAAATCGAAGAAGATATTGAAGCGTGAAATAGACAAATTTCCATCTAACGAGGCGAATCTATTGAGACACTTTCCTCGAACTTTACCTTTTCTTGACCTAGAACAATACAACATGCCGGGGCAAGGTGGGTCCTTGCACCAGAATCGCCGTTTCACGCATCGGCTGCCGTTCTCGCAACGTAGATGGGCGCATCCTTTCGAGTAATCGCTTCCCGATTCTCCTGTCGCGAGTTATTGTAATTGTTCGGTGAGAGAATGCAAAGTATATCAAGCTTCGCGGAATTTACAACTGAACTTACCGCTCGCGAAAAGTCTCTCGGCAAGCAGGAAGAAAAGAAGGCACGTTAAGTTGCAGATAAAAATGTACTCGGGCCGCATGGCGACAGCGCCGATAGCACTCGCTTATTTCAATTGCACGGTGCACCTGTGCCGATACAGCTATAGACGTAATAGCGTGTAATGTAAGCGCGATTGTAACGAGAGCCACTGCATGGAAAAGCGTATTGTCAATACAGCAGTTGTCGCTAACGTTACTCCTCGTTGAACGCTATTGTCATTGCTGTACGGATCAAAGGAGAAACTTAAAACGTATACGCCCGACAAGTCTTTATTCTCGTATATTTTATTTTCGAAAAACTCAGGCGCTTACGGGAAAAATTCTTGCTGTAATTTTGCATTTCTTACGAGAATTGTACATGCTCTTACTTATCTCTCTCTTCGATATGACACATATGTCGTTAATCGATCTATTAAAGAGAGACAAGATACAAGAAACCACCTAGTCGCGTAACGAAACACACCATGCTTCGTTTTAAGCAACGTTTCACATAATCGTAGACTTACCAACAAGAAATAGTAACAAAGTAGTAATTCAGTTTCCTAAAACATTTTGAAAGAATATAAGAACGGAAGATAAGAATAATAGTATTTTTAACAATCAATCGTTCAGAATGTCCTACGAAGGACATTGCGTTTAATTTATTGCTATCACTTTCGCATACTGTCACTTTTTCTCTAAAAGCTGTTTCACCGTTTGTTTTTGTTTATGAACACGCGATCGATATTGCACTATGGCTCCACTCGCGCACGTACGTAGACTTACGATCGATGACCATCTAGGCATTTTCTTTTTATTTTACCTCCTCGTAAAGTGCCGTGAAGTTACAATTTTGTCAAGCGCATCTAAACCATTACGGACTGCGAATAAATTAAACTCTATCATTGTAAAACAAAACGATGCTTTATTTACGCGCAAACGCTGCTCTGGACACGCTCGCATGTCACCTTTTAGTTCTGCCTTGATGTAATCAATTTACATTTAATTGAATACTGTTAACATAAACTATCGTAATCTTCTATGCAAGTTTAATTTTTCAATAGTTGCATTCGAATTTAAAACAATCTTAAGATTACTAACGTGAAACGTCAGCTTTATTACTTTAAGATACTATATCACGCTTCGTTATCGCTTTGTTAATATTAACAATGTAAAATCAAATCAATGCGTAATTTTCTACATAAATGCAGGTTCTTTTGTATTTCACTACAAAGAATCAGCGAGACCCTCATTTTTACATGAAAATTCGCCTATCCTTCGATTAAAACTACAAATCAGTTTTCTTTCGACGCTCCTCTATCCGCACTCTGCAATTGCAGTTGATGCAGCCCGGCGAGCGCGCTGGTGAAGCCAGCGTTGTAATCCAACGTGACTTCCGTGTAGGCGTACTCCTCTCGACAATCTTTAAACGTGTCCACCTCGTCCGGTCCCGAGACTAGAGCGCCGTAGAGAATCTGCGGATTCGGCACGTTCTTGCTGAATTCCTGCCACCCGCAGGGCGCCGGTCTGTTGGGGCAAGAAGACGCGGCATGGTGCGGCTGTTTCGGTGAATTTTTACCGTGTCCAACCACGTAACTCCTTCCTGAAAAATGCGCCGGTTCAACGACGAGCAAAGACGCAAAGTTCATTAACGAATTTAATGAGAGTTCCATCTTTCTTGGAATATTTTTAACTAACGATGAAGTCTCACCCGCTCCACCTAGCATGTAGTCAATTTGTTCCCTGGCGAATCGACGGTATTCCCGCGAGTCGCCGATTTCCAGGGAGTCCGCCGCTACCAGGCAGACGAAGGCCACGTTAGCGGCGTGAGAAAGTGTACCAGACTTATCGATGAACAAAAGGCCCTTCGGCGTGCGTTTCTGTTGCCGCACCGAGAAGTCGCAGAACGCGCGGGTGGCATTCTGGTACTCGGATTGTCCCGTCAGCTCGGCCAGCAGCACCTACGAAAAGCGAAATGTATGCGTGGCTGAAAATGATATCGCCGCTTCGCGAACTATTCACGACTTTCCTCGCGCCCGAGAAATTTACGTTCAACATCGAATTCGCTCGAAAGAAAGCTCTTCTCAACATAGAAATCTCTTTAAGTAACAGATAACAATACTCAAGCTTTTCAGACCGCATTAACCGGCCAGCGTTTTAACACAGAAAATTTATTGCGAAAAATATTACCTCAGCCAGGGTTTGAACCTGGACCTACCTACTCTCTAGGCGGACGTCCCACCCCAGTAGGGAGGTCCGGGTCGACTAAAAAGCTTGATTACTCTTCTCAACACTCTCTCTAAAAGTCAGCCATTGATTTATCACAGAAAACAGTGAATAGTCACTGATTTCAAGTTACGAGTATACCACTGCGACTTTCACTTACAACAGCAAATCGACAACTATTTATTGTTTTCAGTGATAATACACTGATTGACTTTTAAAGAGCAAATAAATTATATTAGTAAGATCAGTATCTTAGTAAAACCAGAAAATAGGATGTAAATAGGGGAGTCTCACCTGGATACCGGCAACTTTCTTGTTGTAAAAGAACGCGTTCGGTCGTTCCTTGAGATGGAAATGCTGATAATGATGCACCGCGTCGTCGAAGTACTTGGTGTCTCCGGTAGCCCTGAAGAGCCAGATCGCGGCCCATGCCAGCTCGTCGCCGTAATCCGTGCTCTCGTAATACCGCTCGGCGCCGCGTATCGCCTCGTGATAAAGGCCGCGATAAACGTCAGCGAATTTGTACAGGTCCTTCGCGTGCTCGAGACATACGGCGCTGTACTCGGGATCGACGCTGTTGAAGACGATGCTCGAGGCCGCGAGAGCGGCGGCCGTTTCGCCAGCAAGATCGGAGCCTGCGATCGGTCGACAAAGTGCATTACACGTACGCAAAATAAACCGGATATGTTCAAAGTTCGAGGAAACTAATATTTCGCTCGCAAATTAGACACTCGTAATATATAGAGTTACACAACACCCTGTATATATTGACATTCTACCAGGATGCTCCGCATCAATCTTGTAGGTGGGCCTGGTGGTGTTCAACTCCTCGGGCCTCCCCCAAAACATGTGATCGATGGGAAAATCGTCGACTTGCCCGTACAGCACGTTCTCGCCTACGTGACACTTGATAAAGTAATCGGTAGACCATTTGATAGCTCGACGAACTTCGTCGAGTTGACCGGCGGCGTCGTAGGCCTCCGGCCAATTGACCGCACCCCAGGCTAAAAGCGTCGTCGTGAAAGCCATCGTGAAGCCGAATTTAACGAAGTCACCAGCTGGTCGAATAAGAATGATTAATTTTGCGACCTGTCAAATTAAATAGCGACCGAAAGCGCAACCGGTTTCTCACCATCGTAGTATCCTCCGGTTAGATCCTCGCCGTTCGAGCCGCGGTCGTACAATGCGGAGTCACCTCGCCACGGAATTCTGTTGTTCTTCGGCAGATTACCAGAACGCTGCGCCTCGTAAAACAATAACGAGAGCTCCAGGACCTGGGCGTAATCATTCACGCTCTCGAGTGCCGTCGCGTTTTCCGCCGGGACAGCGTTTATCTCGCACGTCGACGTGATCAATAGTGCCGGCAGAATCTGTCGATAAATCGCGCATTAACAGAGCGCTCAATATCATTGTCGCACGTTGCCGAACGTTTACGGGGAGCGCACGTAACGATTATCAGTACACGTGTACTAGACGAACGGGCGTAATGTAGGACAATGTCGTGTAGAGTCTTAAATTTTGCATGTAGACTACAGTCTCATAACATAATCTGCGTGTACCATCAAGGTTCACGTTCCGGGAAAAGTAAGGTCGGTCTCCCGTTTAATCGGGAGTCGAGGGAAGCGAACAAGATTTTGGACACTTCGCAATGCGAAGCTGTGCACTTTTAATTCGACAATTGCGGCAGTCGGATTTTCACTTCGCGTAATTTCGAATTGCCAAACGCGACTAAAAATAATAATGACAGAGTAGTCATTCACGAAGACAAAGTGAGTGAAAATTGACAAGTGACATCTTCGAATACTCTTCTCCGGAGTTCGAAGGATTCGATTCTGCGATAGCGATCGTTTTAATAGGCAATCGAATCAACGATGATTTCAAGTCACTTTAAAGCCGAATCAGACTAGCAATTGTCGACTCGGATTGGATTGGGATTGGCGATTGCCCTCTGGCTAATGAGAATCGATTGAGTCGCTGGCTGCTTTGCTCACATTAGCTAGAAGACACTCCCCAATCCCAATCCAATCCGAGTCGGCAATTGCTAGTCTGATTCGGCCTTTACATTGCTTAAGTGAGCGAAACTAACAATCAGAGAAATCCAGATTGACAAGAAGGTAAATGTGGGAAGAATGATACAAACGTTCATGTTTGTTCTATACCCAAGGGTGATCCTTATGGCTTTTCCGATGTCCCTTCTGCATCTAGGGATGAACTGCAAGTAGGATCATCCTTATCGGTGTAGAAAAGGCACGAGGAGTTATGAACCGCGAACCGCGAGCAATAGCGAAGCTATCCCGCTTCCATGAATGACTTGGCGTAGTTTATCAAGCCTTTACGCGTCGTAGGACCAGCTTTACAGTCATATCGTAGGACCAGCTTTAGTCATATCGCATGCGTGTTACAAAACCACAATGGCAGAGAACGATACACCTTTGTTCTTCGCTTTTGATATACCATCGATGCGACGCGATACCGCGCGAATCGCTGCGATAAATCCGCAGGACACGTACGAGCTACGTGACGGACTTAAGCGCGATTCATTTGCGAGCTGAATCTTCGTTCATTCACGAGGCTTCATTAGAGATTTAAGCTCTCGCATTCTCGTACAGCTGCGTCTACCGTGATTAAAGCGGAATGCATTTCGCTTGCGCGAATAAAAACGATCTCCGTCGCAGCGTTGGTCGCGATAATCTAATCGGGAGGCGCAAATTTGTATAAATCATTTATCTTGAAGGGGGCTTCATTCCGGAAACACCACAAAAAGTTGGTATTCGAAGTATAAAGAAAAAGGTTTTACTTTAATCCTTAAAATAATTAATCCATCTTTTCTGAAAGAGATTCAAGATGGGAGATAAACATTTTAGAGCATCACATGATTAATTAACTCATAGGTCGCCAGCAATCTACGGGCTGTAGACTGCCAGAAATAAGAAAATTCAGGATATTGGATCAAAATATGTAAAATTATGAAAAAGAAATTTTTCCATACTTCCAAATTTACAAAAAAAAGTTATCTTTTCCAGTGAAAAGTTATGTACGGGGGTTTCTTGGGTCGATCGACGTGCGCGTGGAATCGTTATAGTTTCAGCAAAGTCCTAGGCCGTTTAGAATTTATATTTCCATGGCGAGCGCCGCGAAACGGCTACTTCGCGAATTCGAGAAACCGGTATGTTTAAGAAGGAAGGAAGAAGCGTGTTTGGAGTCGCGTTTGGTCCCGCTTCCTCGTCGCCAAAGCGTTCCCCAGGTTTCCGAGAAATCCTCGGTTCGTCGGCCGTGTAATTCCTGTATGACAAACGCCAACAGCTTCGGCAAATATCGGTCTTATTGTAAACTCGCGAATTCCTACGCATGTGAGAACTTCCCTCGCGGAAAGAAGTTTTTTGAAACAGTCCGTCCAAAGTGAAAGAAAATGTCTCGTCTCGATCTCGCCGAGCTCGTCAAGGAAATTATTATAATAGAAAAAGGGAAAATTTTTTAAAAAGTCGACCAGACTGGCAAAAAGTGATCTTTATTTAAGTCACGTTTCGATCTCTTTATCGGATCCTTTTCAAGTACAACCTGGAAAGAAATTTCAAATGCTCAAACCGCAATATAAAGAAAGAAACTTTTAGTATATACAAGTATGCATTGCGAAGGAGAAAAGTACCTAATGTTGGCTGAAAGAATTAATTTATGCCGAAACAGAATGAGTTCATGTGTCTGTGGCAGCAAATTCATAATGTCATATCTGAAATTATTACGGGTAACGATAAATAAATTAATAAATAGACAAATCGTAAGATAATCAGTTATAGAAATAAATTCATTAATAAATTAAGTGTAAGGGTAAAAAAACAGTCAAAAAGTAGATAAAAAGTAACATAATAAGTTAAAGAAATAATTAAGAAATATAGTGCAAGGTTTGAGCATTTGAAATTTGTTTCCAGATTGTACTTGAAAAAGGCCTGATAAAAAGGTTGAAACGTTGTGACTTAAATGAAGATCACTTTTTGCCAGACTGGTCGACTTTAAAAAAAAATTTTCCTTTGTCTAATTACCATTGGCGACAATAAGCTTCACTCAGAATTATTAAAAATTCGATCGAAGACAGTGATGAATTAAAAAAAATGCTTATATTCAATCAAAATTATAAGTTATCAACGGGTTTTGGGTCTTGTTTTATTTATTTATGTCTGAATGCAAGTTTATACGTAAGTCTAAAATTTGACAAAGAAAACGAGGGGACTTTTTTATATAAAATTTCAACGGACAAAAGAAAAGCTAATTAAAGAACGTTCGAAAATCGGAAAATTTTAATAATGGATCGAAAAGCGAACTAGAAAATGTTCTGCTATAATTTTCATCCATGCAAAGACCAACAATATTCATAAGATCAATGATGGCAAGCCATCGGTGGTAATCGAATAAAAGTATTACGCTTAAAAATGTAAAGTTGATGATTTCAATAAGATCTTTGCATTATTTAAAAAATGATGACAGCGATGAGAAGGTCCTCTTTAATCACCTGCGATTTGTTATCGCCCTGTAATCTACGGAATATTATTACTTGTTATGTCGGGAATTTTCGCGGCATTCCGACGCGTTCGGATGAGATAACGCGACGTGATGCAGGTATGCAACAGGTAATCGCGAGTGACCATCAGGAACCATCGACCGGGAAAACTCACCGTGACGCACGTGACGAAGAGGTCGAGCTTCATTCTGGCGTCGCGATGCCGTCGTCCCGGAAGCGCGAACGCGACGCGACAAGGCGCGCGCCGGTCACGTCGATTCAGAAACCTTGTGCGTTCCGTTACACCGCGATGTCGACGCGGATCGGCATAGCACACCTTTGGTACACGAAAGCGTCGCGCCCTGCTTCGCAAAGCTTCGTCCGTTTCTCTCCCTGGTAGCAGATTCTAATATAAATTCGACAACAGATTTATTTGGCGAACATTCGCCGATCCGGGAAGTAAAAAGGTAATTAATTAATAATAAATATGAATAGTAAATGTGTCTTATAAATTATGATACGTACCAAGGTCGGTCACTCTTTTAAAATCTTGTAGAACGCGACACTTTTTCTATCTAATGTAGAAAATTGCTTGGCGACGCTTGGCTGGCAAATTCTAATTAAAGAAATTCATTGCGAAAAATATTACCTCAGCCAGCGTTTGATCCTGGACCTCCCCACACTCCAGGGCCTCGGTGGTCGAATTGGTGAAACGCCCGTCTAGAGTGTAGGGAGGTCCAGGTTCAAATCCTGGCTGAGGTAATATTTTTCGCTATAAATTTTCTGTATCATTAATGTCTCACCAGTTCGACCACCGGGGCATGCGGTAATATTTATCGCAAACCCTGGCTGAGGTAATATTTCTCGCAATGAATTTCTTTAATTAGAATTCGCCAGCCAAGCGTCGTCAGGCAATTTTCTACATTGGTTAATCAGTTACTGGCGTTAAACAATTCTTTACTTTTTCGATCTCTTTATATTTGATAATAATAAGTAGTAATAAATCACGTGAATGAATAAAATATTAAGTTGAATAAATAAAGTGCTTTTGTGCAGAAAGTGCAGAGGAGATATAGGTAAAAGTAACGGATCTACAAAAACTCAGTCCTAATTAACAATAAATCTAGACCACGGTCAGAAACTGGAACCGGCGTAACTCAGTGCCAGAAATGCGCGCTTTCTACAAATAAATGTGCATTGATATTCGCAAAAACTCTGCTTGGAAGACCGTGTTAACAGCGAAATGCGCGTGAAAAATAATGTCGAAATTCGAACTCACCACAGCTCCTCCGGTACCAGTCAGCGCCGGCTTAAATCTCGCCTGTCGGCATCGTGATCTCGAGGAGGACTCGAGGAAGACTCGCGGAAGACCCGAGAGTGGACGACGATCCGTGGACCGTTCTTCACGTTACTTCTTATAAGGGGCCAAAGGTTTCCTCTTCTGCCATCGGCATTTGCATACCCAGCACTGACAGAATGTGCACAGGTTGCGTGCTCAGTCTTCTCTCGTTCTACCGTCACTTCGATCACTCGCACACTTCGTCTGGCTATCACTCTCCCACTCCCTCGTTCGTCCACCACGCCGATCTCCTTCTGTCGATTGTGTTTAAATGCGAATCACGCCGCTATCTCTACGATTCGTGTGAGAGGTTCAGGCGATGCGACTCGCAAACGAACGTGAAAAACTCCCGATACATTATATTTTACTGACACAATATTTTAATACGTTTTATTGACACAATATTGTAATCGGGAAATTCTTGTGCCGGTGCGGCTGAATGTAAAGAATTCTTTTAACAAGCTACGACTTGCCTACAGTTTTGTAAAGAAGAGATTAACTTTGCATTATTAAAATTAATGGAACGATTCTAAAACATATTACATCATTATAACTATGGTAATTTATTCTCTTTACGTGCGAGAGTATGATTTAACATTTTGAGTTTGTGCAACACGGTTTGCGAGACAGAAAGCAAGGAAGAATCGACTGTCTGAAAAATGATTAAGAAATCGTACCTATAGGAAGAGAAAAAACGCAAAATATATACGTGAAGTCTCCGTGATTATTGAGCGAGTTTCATTCGCCAAGAAAGTAGTAATCTTCCCGCTGGACACGCTCGAGAACTCTTCAATTGCACATGTTGCGCGTGTAATATTGTAGCGAAAGAAATCGGCGTATTGTTTTTTAAGATTTGGCTTAAAAAATCGATGTACTTTTACATTTTGTAACTTTACCTACAAGGTGTGAAACAAATCTTATTAAATCTGATTTACAAATGATTGTGTAAATAAAAATACAAGCAGGAAACAAATAATTTGAGAAAAATTTAAGGAGGCGTTTTGATATATTTTTTACAAGTTCCTGAGCACACACTTTCGTAAAGTATTTAATAAATTTATTTTTACTTTTTAATACTTTTTAATTTTTTTTATATCTATCTTTTTTTCTATGAAATCCCTCGAAGACAATAGTATACCATTTGTTATTCTGACGATTTCTAATCGAATATCAAACACATTGTCACATTTGATTTTCACAAATTACTTTTTTGCCGAATCAACTTCTTTTTGTCAATTAGATTATCATTATATACACATATTATATATTATCGGTTATTAACTGTCATCTCCGATGTAAGTTTGATTGTTATTTTTAAGGACTGCAAAAAGTGTCAACGACTAACTTGATTGAATAACTTACTAACCGACTGATTGATGAGCGACTGACTGACTGACTTAGCCGGCTCGATGACAATCGCAAGTGACTAAAAGAATGAAGAAGTAGGGAAGAAGTGCGTCCGCGCGGGAAGAGAGGCGACTACTCGTCTCGCATGCGTGATGGCATGACTAATATCGTATCACCACCACCATCGTCGCTGCCGACGATGTGTCGCCCTTAGCAAATTAATTTGCGCTTTTTATATTTATCGGGCCATTGGGCACCAGAATCGTTAAATCGTTACGGGATAGAATGTAAAGGCGACTAAATAATTGATGTGCTGACAACATACTGAAGATATCTAAATAATTGATGTTCTGACAACGATTATTCTCATGGGAGATATGTTTATGTTATTATATTGGGATTATGAAGCACAAAGGGAAACCTTCATGCGGAAGACAAGCAGAAAAATTAATAATTTAACAAGTAATTCTTTTTAATTCGATAACTTTTATGTGTCAAACGGTTGCGTTTGAACAATAATTGTGCAGTAAATTTAATTCTTTTAATACGATATAGACCGACGAGGTATATCGACTGGATGTTGAAGACTGGATTACACTCTGATTTCACTTTAATTAAAAAGGGAAAATAGCAAGTTTTCCTTTTTGAAACTTTCAGAAAAATTAATTAATTTGCTTAAACTCAAAGACATTTCTCAGAAATTTTAACGTTGTTCTCTCTTTGACTCTCGAATTATTGAAATCCGGCACTGGCATTGATTATTCCAGGAAGTCAAGTGAACGTAAATGGAAACTCGGGCAATTTCAGCACCGCGGTTTAACCGCTGCATACAGCTTTCACTGGACACGACACTCTTATCGAATATTTCGTTTTCGTTCCACTTAGCAACAAATTAATGGCAAGCGACCAGCGCCGCAGTCGGCGAAGGCAAAAGTTCCTTTTTTTTTCTAAGAACGGCGCTCACGTTTTAGAGATTTTCGAACTTTTACATTGCAAAACGCTTCTCGCAACTTCTCGTCCGATTATTGTAACACGTGATTGCGTATGAATTACATTTCTCGCGAGTGCTGTGACGAAAACACCGCTGTATGAGTCATTTGCGTGGCACGCAAAGAGTCTAACTGGGTGTTCGATATTGATTCACGAGAATCTGTTTTCTTTTAAGATTTATTTATAAATCACCCACACACATTTGCACATAATTACATATTTAATTCTAATTCTACTCATGATTTCTCGAAATAGAGCATCAATAAAAAATATCTGAGATATTGGAAAGCATCACATACCTAAATGACAGGTATACATCAGTGCGCCAGATTCTTGCACGTTTGCCGAGTCCAATTGCCGGCGATTCAACAAACCAAAATGTAGAGAGCTATTATCGCATTCTTTTTTACATTACTACATTGGCACATTGCCAAATTGAATATTACTTGATTTCCTATCATTATTGCATATTTGATGACATTATGTTAGTGATAATAATAAACTTATTAATATGCATATAATATTATTCGAACACACTGTTTGACTAAACATCGTATCACAATTTTAATATTGAGATGTCTTGTATGAAATATCAAGTTGGTTATCCCAGTTAATTTAAGAAGATACAATCTAATTTTCATAATATTGTGTCTTTAATAAAATCACATAAAAAATAATTATCACAATTTTAATATTGAGATGTAGTCCTGTATGAAATATCAAGTTGGGCAATTAAGTTCCTAAACTTTGTTATCTTAGTTTAATTTAAGAAGATACAATCTAATTCTCATAATGTTATGCCTTTAGTAAAACCACATACATAATTATTTTACTTACGTAAAATTACTTACGTAAAATTATCAAAGGAATACGCTAAAATTTTCGACAAATTTTACGTACTTCTTTCTTCATCGAAACGTAATGGCATTTTACAAAGCAAAAATCGAAGAAGAAAAGATGAAAAGAATTCACTTACGTCTGCAATGATAAAAATAAATAAATTATCGCATTAAGAAATAGTAAAAAGGGAAAAATACTATTAATGTTGAGCCATCTCTGCCACAAACTTCCGGCAAACTTTTCAGCGAGGCTGTATTATGCTTAATAACTATGTTCCACGATGAACCTGGTCGTGTCATTTTAGAGATACTCGATATTAAGCACAAACCGTACAAAAGTTTGCGATACAGTTGTAGTCGTTTGAAAAGAAAGTGCCTTAGTTTTCATCGGTGGACGGAGTTTATGATCGACGTCGAGAAGTTTATGCGGACGAACTATCTGGTTAACGACTGCCGTTGGCGATGATTACGTCAAAATGGTTCCGGGACGACCTAATCGATCGTCAGCTGCCGGAAGGATCCATCGAGACCGAACAGGTCGTCCTGCGTTTTTGGTTTACCTGGTCGCAGAGCCTCGTTAGTCTTCATAGCTTCCTGCTCCGCGAACCACGGCCCGTATTCATCCAACTTCTTCATCCACAAATCTGACAGATAAAGGAAAAAATTATAACGATCAAAGAAAAATTTTTTACGTTCAAGATATTTAACTTGTAACGTTGTCTATATATACATACGCCTATTACTATTCCGATAACAACTATGAAATATTTGTTACGTCTTATACGGATGCCGTACTGGCTTTACTATTTTATATTTATTAAGTTTTTGCTATATCGATGTCTTTTACATATTTAACGAAGACGACTTAATGTCTTCTCTACAAACTTATTAAGGAAAAATTTACTCGAAATTAAGAGACTGGGAATATTGCGCTCAAAATTAAAAAAGCGACATTTTAGGGCGTGTATTACAAGTTGAAATCGATGAAAAAAATGAAATGTCATACCGTGTATATTCTGGATGGGTCCAGCGTCACCACCGTATTCGGCCGGCAATATTTCTCGGGGTACGTAATCGTATAACGTCTTCATGTCGCTGTGCATGAAGATGCGATTGCGTATCTTCTCCTTCAAAAACGGCTTGACGAAATTGAGGATGGTGTCGACGAGCGGACTGATGTTCACCACGTGCACCTCCTTCAGCTTCACCGGATACGCCTCTATCGCGCAAACCAGAAACTTCTTTACTATGGACGGCGAAAATTTCGCGAAATGATTGGGCGTCGCGACGGAGGCGTCGAGGATGTAGACGTCGCCGGCCACGCCGTGTTCTTCCTCCTTCAGGCGAATGTCGCCGATCATGAACACCATCTTTAATGTTAACAGTGTTATTCTCCGTTACTTCCCTCGACACGAGATACGAAAGTGTCTGTGTGAAATAGTTTTTAAAAATCTGCAAAACTCGAAATCGATGTAACAAGTTCAACTATAGATACTGTAAATGTAAACGGAACAGCGGAAACTGCGGATCCAAAAAACACGGTTCAACGCACCTTTCCCAAGGGAACTGAATGTGCAAAAGTGCGTTTTCAAGAATTTTTATTTTCGGGCAAATTTTACTAAATTTAGGGAGTGCGTACATTGTTGGAGGTCGCAGTTTTTCTACCAGAGGTCGAAATAAATGCATACCTTCATAACTTCCGGTACATCCGGGGTCGGTATGTTCTTATCGACTCCTCGCATGATAATCACTCGACATCCTTTTTTCGTCAAGCCCGGCATCGGAGGTAGATGTCTGCAGGAAAGAGATGAATAAATAAGCCGTTTGCCTAATCCGTTCACGCGAATGACTTGTGGCGTTTCTCGTCTAAAATCGAAATCTTAAACTACCGCCATATATATACCGTGCGCGATCGCAATATCCTTACAAGAGCTTCGATATTTCTTGCAGCACCGGGTTCCTGACGTTGCGGTTGGAGAAAAATTCGGGGACTACCGCGCGCATCGTGAAATACATGTCCAGCTTCCTTTTGCATTTCTCCAAAGAGAACTTGCACCCGCGTAGGAACGTCATTATTCTTTGATCATCTGGAAAAAGATAAGGGTATATTAGGTTGACTATAAATAATCTAATCATAATAGAGTAGAATTCACGTTGGAATTTAGGCCCGGATTTTCATTTTCTGGTTAACTGTTAACCAAAGGTTAGTCGACTCTCTGTCTCTTCTCAGATAATAACGTAGAAAAAGATGGAGAGTCGACTAACTTCTGGTCAACAGTTAACCAGCTCTATTCTGCACCCGGCTACCGACAACTATCGATATCGTTAACGACGTTTGCGCAGCTTTTCTATCATGTAAAAGAAGCCAAGGTAGCCAAGTGCAGAATAGAGTCCCAGAAAATGAAAAACCAGGCCTTAGATAATATAGAAAAAGATGGAGAATCGAGTAACCGCTAGTTAACAGTTAACCAGAGAATAAAAAAACAGGGCCTAAAATATACATCAAAATATGCGACATGTAAAATTATAAGTGAAATGCTATCGTAAAATTTTATGCAAACTGTACATCGTCTGTAGTAGGTTTCGCAATTATTCTGTATAATTTTATGTGCCATCCAGTCTGACAAGTATATTCGACACGAAAAGTCTGTCGCGCGTACCTTCGAATTTTGGCAAGTGTGGTTGCTTGGCGAGCCACTCTTTAATATTTTCGAGGTCCTTGTCGCGCGTCGCTGGATTCTCGTTCAACTCCACTTGTATCTGCTTGGACATTTCGTCCTTAGGCTGTATCAACAGCATCTGCGAACACAAGTAATTTCGCAATAAGGAACAATATACCGTACGTACATACAAGCGGATTCGTGAATTCTCTATAATCGAAAAGTCTAAAGCGAGGTCCAGACATGTGTCGTATCACTGTATCATATCGTAATCGCGTATCGCGATCGGCCAAATGTGGACGGAGTATCTGCATATCAAGGTGAGATAGACACGACAAACCTCACGATCCACTTGAGGTGGAAAAATAACAAACAAATACAGATATGAGATACAGGCTAAAAACCAAAGGCATACCATCATAGCCAGCGTATCCACGTGTCACGGACAGAAGTGATCCCGGTGTGACACAGTGACACGACGCATGTCTGGACTAGCTTTCCGATGAAAAATTCAATTAAAAATAGATGTCCCTCTTTTTACGATTAGAAAGCGTAAAATTAAATTACCTGCAAAATAAATTGGACCGTCCCGGCTATGCATAATGTCTATCTGACTCCTTTTCGCTTGCACGTGTTACGCGCGTAATGTGCACAACGCGGATTGCACAACCGGTTAAGATACCCATCGTTCTTATGTCAGGAATTAATGCTGACCAAAGCGGCTTGCTCAACGTGAACTTTCTCTAGCTCGTCGCGGCTTCGTACGGAGAAGTAAAGAGAATATTTCTTAATCTTTACCTCTCCTTGTTTCGGGACCGACAGTATAGTTTCGAAATTCCCCTTTTTACAACCTATTTAGTTACAATTAGTTGTGCAAAAGTTTATAAAAAGTTTATAAAAAACTACATTCTTGTTATTTATATCATGAGAATATGAGATATAATCTTTCCTTGTTACTGAGAATAATTATATAAAACTTGAGAACAAATCGTTTAAAATAAGGAAAATTTTTTGCTTGAAAAGAGACGATGTGGGAGAAGTAAAGAGTTTTGCAATCGTTAATAAGTGTTTCCTAACGTAATATCTTTTTTACTAGAATTGTTTATGACGCAAGTGCTCTTGATCACCGGTGTGCTACTATCGCGATTATCTTCTCGTAAGTGCGAAAAAATTATCGAGAGCATACCTGGCAGTATTCGAAAAAGTCATAAGAACAACTTTATAATATTAAATCTCTGCATCATCAAAGGATGCGATTTAAATGAAAATAATTTATTTTATAACAATATCAAATTAGTAGATAGAGAAAAGATAGATAAAGAAAGAGACAGACTTGACTTTGACTTTTAATTAAATGTTAAAATTTTTATTTAACAATAATAATGAGACCTGTCTTTTTGCGTTCTATGCGCTGTATGTCCTAGACCTACTTTTATTTCACAAAAATATTAGATGGTTGCCTTGGTAAAGCTAAAATTAGCTAATACGATATAGTTAGATACAGGAAATACAGTTAAAATTGTTTAACCAATATATGCCGATTTATTTTCATTAGAAGTAAATAGTTTTTACTGCGAAAAGAAATTTTTTTATTTTAAATTTAATAATTTGAACTTTGTATTTAAATATTCACGAGACTCGAATTTGAAGAAAGAAATTCATAAATTCATTTAAATCTTTTATAAACCTGACTGCTCAATATATTTATAGTGTAAATTGATGTATGGGCGAGGGAAGAAAAAGTATGACAACTAATTAGAAAAATACGAACTTTAAAATTGTTATGAAAAATAATTGAAAAAGAATCCGAAGAGTTAAGTCGAGATGTGAATTCATTGACGAACGGTTCTGCGTTAAATTTACGATTTGAATACAAGGATCAAGCGAGACACTTAAAGCACATTTTGTTCATCGAGCGTAAATTTAATCATGGTATACGCAACAATTTTTATTCGATCCGGCATTCATGCAAGATGCGATGAAGTCACTCTGACCTCATCTTAAAAAAAAAGACCAAATTTTATGCGTAGTACATTGGACGAAATCTGGACTTACCTTGACCGATGTTCAGCGCGATTCACAGGCACAGCCGAACACTCGTCGTGCAAACGATCGCGGCGACGATGACTTTCGGATTGTTGCGGAAAGAGAAACGAGCGGAGCGGCGAACTCGAGAGACGGTAAATGAACAACGGAGTGGGAACGATTACCTCGTACGTGGACCGGTTCTCCTTTATACCGTAGGGATGCCCCACTCTCTGCTTCCCGTAATAATGCACGGTAGAAAGAAAATCTTATTAGCATTTTTGGGAGGGGGAGGGATTTTGGGGAATACCGAGAAACTCACCGTAAAATGTAGACTTGTCAGGGACTACCAAATAAGATCGTTCCGTTTAGAGGGGAAATACCGTGATATAAAAGAATGCACTCTGTACGATACCAAAGGCATTGAGTAAAGAAGACAAAAATATTGAATATTGCGGAACATCCGGTGCCCTAAAACATAGACTGAAATGATTAAAATGACCAAATATAGTCGCTACCTGGAAATGTCAATAAAATGTGAAGCTGCTTAATTGTAGTGAAATCATATTTAACTATAAAAAAAATGTCTTTAATTAGAATTTGCCAGCCAAGCGTGGTTTAGCAATTTTTTACATTCATATTTAACTAGGTTCAATTAAAATTTAAATGATTTTATACAAAGAATTTGTAATGTAAAAATTCCACTCTTTTCGAAGACTGCTCTCTTCAACTCTACCTCTTTTCAAAGAAACATGATGAATTAGCCTTCAATCTAAGCAATTAGCTTCCAACAATTTTTTATTGTAGTTTCCTGTTGCACAAAACGTATCCTTTATTGGCAGATAATAAGCAACCTCGCTATCTTTTTTATCGCATATTAGCCGTAATGTACATCAATTGTAACACTTTACTCAAAATACTTTGTAAATCATCCAAGTGTGTAATTTTTACACACATAAGTGTACAAAATGTGCTATTTTTACGATTTTTCACACTTACGCGGGGAAAAATAGTTCACATATAACCGCTTAAAAAAACTTTACGATTTACAGTGTTACGTGTAAAAATTACACACTTGGATTTGTAATGTATACATCAATAACGAATCTTTTACTAAAAAAAAAATTTTTGACTTTTTATGCAAATAGCCTCATGCCCCCCAGACACTGATTGAACCAATGCAAAACCGATACGGTAAATGGTTTCTTCAATGACTGGAGATAGAAAAAAACATTAGCAAACAATCTACAGCTGCATACTTTATTATCTGTAATATTATATGAAAATAAAAACCGATGACTTAATGAGGCACACATGTGGAATTACTTACTTACACATTGTACGCAATCACAATAATTTCGTAATACGCCTACCGAGAAACGGCAATAGCTAACTTCAATATAATTCCGTGATTTTAGAAACTCACGAAACTGTAACGCTTATATAACGCGAAAATCCTCGCCCGGTGAGCGCGCCTAACTTTGGTGTGCACATGCATCATCTTTCTTGCTCTAATTAACAACCAAAAATACGAAACTTTCCTCTCGAGATTGATACGCATGTTTTTAAATGGTTCGCACATACAGTCAAGTAATTGAAAACCTGAAAAAATTACCTTTTTTAAAAAAGTTAAAAAAGACGCAAAGTATAAGCGCCACCCAATCAAGAATAATATAATTTAATTATTTGAATACATGTTGTTATTAAAAATTCATTTTTATTGTCTCCACAAAAGTAATGATATGTCATCCAATTGCGCCAACTAAAATTGATATTTATACAAACTAGATACTTTATTATTTTTTATGTTAAAATGTTATATCCAAACAAGCGAGCATAAGATTTTACCGAAAGAAATAAAGGAGACAATAATATTATGAGACAAATTTTTAACTATATATTGTGTTTAAAGTTCAGGCTCCAATTCAAATACCACGAATATAGTTTCAACGAGCTCATTTTTCTTTTCTCGCTCACGCACGTCAGATAAGTTTTGCGTGGTTCTAGTTGCTATCGTTGCGCACCGTCAGGTCGATCTAATTAAATAATATATTCAATTGCCACATGCGTTTTAGATTTTTTTTTTTAACGAATGTATTTATCGTCACATGCATGTATTTATGAGATTTGCGAGATTTTTCGCGGAAAAGTCTCGTCTCTCTTCGGATTATCTAGCGATCGTGATAATTATCAGCGTGCACACGAGCAAGCCTTTGTTCTCGCGAAATAATTAGTAACGGAGGTACTTATTATTGACACGGAGAAAATTGGCTCGAAGTGCGAATTTCGCACGCCGTCAAAGTGAAGATAACGGTGATAATCGTGCGTTCCCGCTCGATTCTTCACCGTATTCACTTCCGAGTGTAAAGAATCGCACGCTGACTAATCGCGGCCCGAGCTCGTGCCCTCGTCTTACTTTCTTTCGCGGATACGTTGCGCGCCGTTGTTGCACCAGGGTAGGATTACGCGAGCGGCGACCGTCATAACCAGAGGAATTCGCGAGTGTATGAAATTGTGGGTTGCAATCACGTGCGATTTTGTAATTAACCGGATCGGGCAAGACGTGTTTACGCGAGGTAAATACTTACCCCCGCAAATATACCGAACTAGCCAATCTGTCTGCCCTGAATTACAAATAGATTATCCGCTTCTTTCGGGTCAGATTCTAACGAGAGAAAGTTAGATTCTAACAGCCTCATTTGATAAATAAGAAATAGATTTCTTCCTGAGAAAATTAAATGACTTCACTGACACAGTCAGGATTATTTATGTATCCTTCGAGTACAATTTTTCGCCACAGCTTATTCGTGAGTTTCATCGACGTGTTAATTGCAATATCATAATCTCTTTCCACGCGCGTTATTCGCCCAATATTCTCTCTTAGTGTTTTTCTTTTTAAAGGAAATATTATCAAAATCGTCGGTAGGTTCTCGTTTGTAAAATATCGATGACGGGGGAGAAAAGAGATATAGAAAAAAATGTTATAGATATTCAGTACAAAATATTATGTCTGATTTTAAAAAGATGTTATTGCGGCCTTGGCGAGGATCGAGCTCGTGACACCGAGTACTGTAGCAAGGCCACACGGTATCTTCGACGAAGTCGAACTTTTGCCTGGTACTTCTTTCCCAACAAAGGTTCCTTCAGCGTTTACGGTACTCTAAACAAAAGATACCAAACGCCCATCTTTATGTGCAAGATCAGCTTATCTCCACATCAGATAATTTAAACAATTTGTTAATCAATTTCTACCGAAAGCCTTTTTCAAAGAGAGAAAGCGTGAAATTTTAACGAATAAAGAAACCTAGTTTGACATTTTGGTGTCGTTCAGTGTATTCGTTTTCTGTACAAAGTGGAATACGATTAATGTAAACTTTCAGATAAAATAATTACAAATAATTGTATTCTTAAATCTAGCAATTAATTTAATAATTAACTTATTTTATTTTATATTATATATTCCTAATTTGAGAGGGCGAGGTGTAAAGAGAGAGCTTGGAGTAAAATCTGTTTAGTGGAAAATTTATTGTTAAATCGTGTAATGGTCGCGAAAAAGATTTGTGATTGAATTTGGACGCTAAAAACCTAATATCTCACATTAGAAATTCTATCGCATAATAGAGGACTTTCGTCTATTATTAAATTAGTATTAATTAACAATATGTACATCAAACCATATATTTACTAATATGTATGCAATTTATATTATAGGATTGTCAACTAATTTATGTTAATAATATTCTTAACATTCTAAAGAGAGGTAATTATGTCATATATATATATTTTTTATAACCAATCACATTAAAGCATACTTGCAATATTACGTTAGTTGTTATTCAAAGCATCGTCATTATTTATCATTAAGGCACGACTGGTTCAATTTACCGGTTTCTCAGCATTCTTGTTTCTGCTAACTCGCTTTTGCATTGACAGTTCTTGCGAAAAGATCTCGCCGGTCGGCACACGTGAAACAATCGGAACATCGCGCCTTTGCCGACTCATGCATCCGGTATCACGGCAATCGCGTGTAATCATCGCTTTTTTTATTGTGATTGGAAGCTCATCAGTAGTTTGTGCCTCCTGAAGAATTCGATAATTCGGTCCTTGTGCAATGAATGGAACTGATTCTGGGTCTTCAACACAGACTTGTGTCACGATGAAGAGAGTGTTCTCTGGAGAGGCCTTTATCGATTAAAAAAGAATTAATAGCTTATTAACGTACACGCATTGACGTATTGCATGAGTAACCATAACGTTTTTCTAACTTTATACTTTCGTTAGTTCATTACATGTATCTCCCATTTCGACGTGTGGTATTAATATTTAACTACACTGAGAAAAATGTCCGATTAAATTTTATATTTTCAATCATGTTGAGATCTACCAGTTTTATGGACAATCAAAGAAGCGTTAATTACTTCACGTTGAAGAAGATCGATGACGGCGGCACCCTCGCTTTTCGGTGCGGCAGCGATTAACATGTAGCCCTTTTCGTTTGGGACAGATTTCAGCTCCCTGATGGTATTCTCAATTAAATTGGTTGCAGCTGACTTAAAAGAGAACGATTTGCGCGATGAGAATTCATTCTGGAACGCGCCATCGTTTCTGTGCAACGATTCGAACAGAGAACGGAAGAAAGCCATTCTTATTTTGGAAAATACGTCGAAAATGTCCCACGCGACATCATAATTCATCTCTTCTGTAAATAAAATAGATATTTATCCCTTCTACGTTTTTTTTAAAACATCCTGTATATTTTTATAAGTTAGCAAAAATTATCAGAATTAGATTCTTGGAGAAGAGTAACTTCAACTTGATATTTTATGCTTAGGATTGTTAGTGAAATGATCGGAATGATTATCAAATATATTATCTTATATCTTTTATTTTATGTCTTCGCGTATTTAGCATTATTGTTGGAATTATCAGAATTTATGTTTCACGCTTGAAAAGATCACCTCATTTTTTACCTTAACTTTCTCAATTCTCAATTTTATCCGTTCTGAATCTCTATATTTTTAGCAAAATACTCTTTAAATGTATAAACCTGTTTGTGACTCGCCTCCTGTTTTAGGACCTGCTGTAGTCAAAGGGAAAACGGATTTCGCCCGGTCGCTAAGATCGATTACTTGCCAACCGTCGTTGGAATCGCGTTTTCTTTTATGTGGTTCCAACTTTGCGTTATTTTTATTGAATCTGCTAGACTCGTAGTTAGGAAAGAATGGGAACGAGAAATTGCTGCCGGAAATTGCGCCTGTTCAATACATAAAATTGGCGATCAACAAGAAATAATTAAGTATGTAAAAAAGAATAATGTATTATTTATTTTATTACTATTTGTTAATATTCTCTCTTATATTCTTATAGTTTTCGTAGCCTTTTGTAATTTAATTAATAAAACTTTTCTTTTTCCATACCTGTTGTCATTCCTCTCACTTGTTTCGCCCAGGATAACAACTCTTCGATCGAATGAAGGGCACACTCGCAATTGTCTCTTTTTTCTTTCTTTTCAGTAACTGACGTGTTATCCATAGAAAAATTAGCGCTGTCAAACTTGTCGTGGCAGCTCTACGATATAAAATTTCCCTTATCACAACTCGAATTTAAACTGTATTACATAACTAATGAAGACTTAAAAAAGGATTTTGCACAAAAACAATATTACAAAAATTAAATTCTAAAAGTTTCTCCTTAAATCTAACATAAATCACTGCCCTACGATAGACGTCATATTTTCAGCCTAAAATTAATTATTTTGCGCGATATTATGTTTCATGAAAATACTTAAATACACTTTCGTGAAAATCCGGATTTACGTTATTAGTATTGAATGAAAGAAAGTTAAATAATGAAAGAAGAATTGGTCCACCGATTATCAGTTTTTTAAAGCTATTCGAGTAAAAAAATGATTAGTACGATTATGGGAAAGTACTTGAAGAAATCCTTCAATCGCGAAGGGCTGCAGTCTTTCTTTATAATCCTTCCACAGGATCTCCTGCCTTTTCTCATCCGGACCTGTGTCATCGATCAGGAGCAAAATGACATTTCGAGGAGTGATAATAGTATTAGCGTTTTCTTCAAAAGAATCGGAAGCGTCGCTCCTAATTGCTAATGCTATTTCACTGATAGGCTTTATCTCAACGAGCTTCATCTCAGCCTCGACATTCCCAGTTGTTGATCTCTTCTCGCGCGTCTGATTTCCCAGCACATTTTCCGACATTTTTGCGTCCTCGGTTTGCAAGATCTTGTGCGCGCCTGTTACTTGTATCTTGTCCTTCAACGCAGGATTGACAAATACTCTTTGATAAGTGTCCAAGGATGGTGCCGTGTCCCATGCAGAAGGCGCAAGCGCTATCAAAGCGTGACATAAATCGGTAGGTGCAATGACAACTCGAAAAAATGTATTTAAAAGATACATCGCGCATATGTATGCTAAATAATCTTGAAATTATGTATGCGCACATGTATGCTAAAATTCTTGAAAAAAGAGAAGAGGAAAAAACACTATAACGCGCATGTACATAAATGTATGATCTAGAATGAGTCCTTAAGAACGATGTCGGAGACTTAACAATTAAATTGAATGATACATTTTGCATTCCCTTATCATTTGCGGACTTCGTTCAAACGAAGCGGAGACGAGAGCAAAGATTACCTGAACGATCCATCGTAAAGGCGAAAGAGCACGCCATCAGCGACCACAGCATCAGAATCAAGATTCCGGAACGTGACATGACGATTTCTGCTAACGAAATCAATTTAAACGTGACGTAATTGGATTATTTTGTCCCTCGCGCACATTTGTCTATAACACATCGCTCACCCGAGTAATCGACTTGCAGTCTGTTTCTTTATAGAAACGTTAGTGAGCAAAAGTTTAATTCTGAATCGTCGTTCAGTCTCCCCTTGTTTTCCTCCCGAAAAACAATTGGGCTACGCCGTCGCTAATCAACAAATTCGGTTGCCCGAACGACCGAAGGAGAATCTCAAAGTTCAAACGAAGTTCTCTTTATTAGGATTTATAGTCTGCTGCATCAGCTACGCGGTAAAAAAATTTGTTAGTTTAAATTTTTTCATTTTTAAAAAATTGCTCATTTATAATTATACAGGGTGTACCTAAACTGGCGATAAATATTTTAATGACAAATACCTTGTAACATTTTAAGACGAAAATTCTAATACGAAAAAGTGGAGGCTATAATAGTTTTCAAATGGGAA